TTTTTTTACCGCCCGACGTCGTTTACGAAGCGCGATACGACTATTCCGACCTCCGAATGGAAACTGAAGTGCTGCGGACTTTGCGGATACTTTATATCCCGACCCCCTCATCAGGGAACTTATATTTTCTTTGGCTTTTCTCTTCAGATTACCCCTAGATTCCGCGAACCGACTTTTGACCGCTTCCTTCAACGGCTTATTATTTTCGACGTCTTCTATTACGTTAATTCCCGCACGTAAAGCTTCTTTTCCGACGGCACGTGCACCTTTACCTAGGTAAGGTAATATTTTTCTGAATAGACCACCGAGAAAGCTTCCGATTCCATGTCCGCGTTGATAGGGCGAACCGACGAAAACACGCGGAATTCCACCTCGGCCAACTATGTCCCACGCATCAAAATACTCCTCATACTCCATAGCTAGTTTCTAACCAAAGACTGTCGCTATACCGACACGCTCGCGTATACGAAAGAAAAGTTATTGCTTGCGTTTAAAGTGCAGCGTCACTGTCAGCGTTCCGAATTCGAATGGAATTTTTTTTCCAAGATGATCTCTTATATCTATTTCGATCGTTCTGAAATTCGTTCGTCGCAATGGGATATAATTTGGAAATGAGAAATGCTTCACCAAATTTGCGCCAAATGCGTAATTATGGTTGCGTATCTCGACCGGAACTATCCTGAGAAGAGGAGTACGTACATCACCTGTTATATAAGGCTCACAAATATCGCAATAAACGAACATTTTATCGGGGATACCGCGCCACAAACTACAGGATTCGGTACTCCAGTAAAGGTCTGCAAGTCGTTTTCCCGTCTTATTATTAAATCCGTGAGTAAGAAAAGTTTTCTCTTCCGTTTCATTGGAATTAGGTTTACGTATCGCGAGCTTGGGATAAAGTGGATAATTATTTGCGGAAATTGCTGATGAGAAACCTAGCATTCGTAGAAGATTATCGGAAAAGTTTATATGATGTAGCATTTGGCACTTCTCGTCGCAGTTAATACTTATGACTTTACCGCCAGACGCTTTTTGCAGTTCAAAATAAAAATGCGATTCGGCCTCTTTACACGCGGTATTAATCGCATCGATAAGCTCATAGATATCGTTGTAAATTCCATTTAGAAATGCAACTTGTTTCGCCGTAAACGCACCTTTCGTCCCCTCATCGGGTTTAACATCGACGAATCTGATCACATTTTCCTTATGACGTATGTGTAAAAAGGTATAGGGAAATTGAATCTCGGTTATCGCGACTTCCCATTGTCCGTGTAACACGATAGAGTGAGGTAATTCCGTAATGAAGGACGAAGTTGTATTATCCGGAAAATGACGCATACTGCTGTTACTCGGAAGTACCAGAAGAAATTGTTCCTCCTCCATCGCGAAGAGAAATTAAACTCGAAGCCGGAATCCAACTATCAAACTTACTAGGATAACCTCGCCAACTAACAAGCACTTGCTTATTAGCTCCTCGTCCTTTACTCTTTATCACGCGATCGACGATAAACTGTTCTTCCTCTACGTTTTTCTCAACTCGAGCTAATTCTTGCTCATAAAAAATACCGTCTATGACTTCGCCTGCTAAATCTCGCAGTTCGTACACGCGAGGGTTTCGCCAATCGAGAACACGGTAAATTTGAAATATCTCCTCGCTCCACTTAGCCTCGTTTCCTTTCTCGAAGGCAGCTTTCGCTCTACTGATACGAACGTGATCTCCGACGGGATTTTTAACCTTTCGCACCCGTTTCTTTAACGTTTCGTTTTTCCAACGACGAGCTATGTTTTCACGAGCGATACGTGCGTTTTTTCTCGTTACTACCGCAGGTTGCATTCTCGTGGACGAGTGACGCGTGTGATTGTAAGCGTGTACAATGTCCTGCAGAACATCGATGTAGCGTCGCGTATTTTTATGCGTAAAATAACCCCACATTCGTTCCTTCAGTGTTCTGTTGAAGCGCTCGACGATGGCGGCTTTGATGTCTGGATTGCGCGTTACTCGAAAACGAATGTTGTTTTCTTTAAGAAATTTCTGCATTGATTGCGCGACAAATTCTTTACCCTTGTCCGTTTGCGGATATACGGGTACTCGGCCTTCGCTTTTCGCTAGTACGCGTTGAAAAGCTTTTATCGCGCAGTTACTCGTTTTGTCGCGTAACGGTTCTACCCATACGTATTTACTTAGTACATCTATAATCACTAACAGATAGGAATAACCGTCGTTGTAACTTTTTAGATTTCGGAGTTCGATCAAATCTGCCTCCCACACATCGTCGATGTTCGTTACGTTGTAATGCAATCGTGGAAATTTTCTACGCAATAGTCGGTGCAACGTGTACGCTTCTTGCGATTCGAGCCAGCGCACGACTTCTCCCCGTGAGAAATTCGGGTTATCAGCACGAGTTAGATTATCCACCGCCGAATAGCCCGCGTTATGCGACGGATCGTAGTATAATTTTTCAAACGTCATCGTATTATCTTAGTTTTTTCCAACCGAGTAACCGACTTTTTCCCGTTTGTAGAGATGCGGGAGTATCAGTTTTTCGTGTACGAGAAAGAATCATCGAACCTTCCTCGTCTCTTTCTTGTTCGTAATTTTTACGTTTTTCTCTTTCCTCTCGATACAATCGACGTGGAACTTGCGCTTTCGATATAAAAGGCATGGAACTCGCCCGAGGTCGAAGTTTTACGCTGCTTACACCAACACCGTGCGAGGACAATAATCTTTTATTTCTCACCAGCGCAGAAGGTACGTTCAACGCACGGAGTAATCGCGCGAACTGATTTCTACCTACTGCTTTCACAGTTTTTCTCTCGCGCATCGCGTCGTTTATCAAGTCAGTGATATTCGAGTCTTTCACGACGTTGCCATCTATAGTCACGATTCCATGCTCGTCCCAACTAATTCTATCAGGTATAGCATTTCGAATCAAATGTTTCATCAGTAAGCGTGCATGCTTACGATAAGATTTCGGTACGCTTTCCACTATTTCCTCAATGCTTTTCATCGCATGATTATTCTTCGCATGATTATGATCGCTCGAAATTTCAAAATTTTTTGTAATAATACCGGTATTACTGATGGAATGTGCTGGCGGTATATCGAATGTTTGCGTGAGATCATGAAAAACGTCATTGCTCGTCGTCTCGTTATCAGCGGAGCCATCTCGTGTAGCGTTGTCTTCTGCGTTTTCGCTGCGGGCGTCTTTCTGCCTTCGCGTTTCTTGGATAAATCGTAGGTATCGCCATAATGCCTCTCTGTACATTTTCCATCTCTCACTTTCGTCGCGTGGCCAGTCAGAATTAAGAATACGGCCCATCTCCGCATCGAGTCGTGTTAGATGAGTTCCGGGAGTTTGCGCTGTGCTATTAGTGCTCGCTGTGTTATCCGAATTTTGCGGTACTGCGATTTCTTTTGACTCTCCGTCAGCGAATGATGTCGGATTCTGACGTAGCTGATGTTGCATTCTCTCGAGATTTTCCGTCGAAATTAAAACCATTTTTTTGGCCCTCTCCATAACGTTTTATCCCACTATTTCGTTCCTTCCATAATTAGCGATAATAAGGTCGATAATATAGGACCGATAATATAAGGTAAAAATCCGCCTCGCTGCACCAACAGCTTTCTTTTATCCTTCCAATTACCACGTTTTGCAACGATACGACGTAGAGGCGTTTTGAATTTGGTTAGCCGATTTTTTTCACAACGTTCGAGCGAGACGTTACCTTTGAGTGTATTAAAAACACATTCACAGATACAACGAATAAGTTTTTCGTCCGCGGCGCGTAGGAAGGTCGTGCGTTGATTTTTGTTCAGATGATAGAGGGCCGCGAGAAGACA